CGTTCTTTTTTTTTTTTTTTTTTTTTTTTTTTGAGATGTGTCTCACTAAATCATTAAGTTGCCCAAGCTGGGCTTAATCTCACCATTCTTCTGTCTCAGCTTTCCAAAGTGCTAGAGAACAGGCATGTGCCAAACATGCCTGTTTTGTTTTGTTTTGCTTTGCTGCTTTGCTTTTTTGAAACAGGGTCCAGCTACATAGTCCAGACTGGCCTTGAACTCACAATTCCCGGCTTCAGGCACCCGAGTGCTATAAGCACCGGAACTGCAGGCATTGGCTGCCACACTTAGCAGAAAGAGCTCCTTCAGGAACCACTGTGCTCTGTGAGGGCATAAGAACTCATTGTAAAATCTCCAGCAGAACCTGACCCTCTCACACCATAACACAAAAGGCACTCTTCTCAGGTTCAAACTTTGCAAAACACTGCTCAACAGTGAGGCTACTGTGGCCCAGTGTCGAGTCTCAGGACCATGTCAGCCACACATTCTGTGCTGCAGCTACAAATTCCAAGAGCCAGTACTTGAAATAATGAAGGTGAAATAACCCTAAAACAGCTTTTACTTACTTCTAATTTTAGAAGTTGTCTCCACTTTAATAGTGACTCAGTCTTCCCAATTTTTACCTGGCTTTCTATTTATTAATTTATTTGTTCATTTGTTTATTTTTTGAGATAAGGTCTCACTATTAGTTCAGGCTGGCCTTGTACTCACTGTAGCCCAGGGTAGCCTCAAACTCACACTGATCCTCCTGCCTCAGCCTCCCAAGTGCTGGGGTGACAGGCATGTACCACCACAACACTGGGTTTTATTTCTAAATTACACAGTTCTCACATTCACAAAGTCACCTCACTCACACCACACAGTGAGGACAAAAACTAGAAATGACCAGAACCTGTCTGGCTGGCTACACACCTGGTCCTTTGATTAAATCCTACCTATAGCACTCTGTAACCCAAAAATGAAACAATTCTGGCTGAGGATGCAGCCCAGTACTTGCTTAACATGAACAAGGCCCAGGGAGCCGGGGATTTAGCTCAGTGGTTCCACTGCCTGGCTCACAAGTGCAAGGACCCAAGTTTGATCCCTGGTACCAAAAAAAAAAAAAAAAAAAAAACAAGGCCCAGGGTTTCATCCTTGCACTGGAAAGAAAAAAATTAAATACCACTTCAAATTAAAATAGACATGGTCTTTTATACACTATACAACTGGACAGAGTGAGGAAGTCTGTCTCCTTTCAAAGAGCTTAACTTTAGAAACACAGAAAACCACAAATAAGTAAATAAAGGCCTTAATTTTAAAAAGTCATTAAAGCCCATAGCTAAACTTGAAGTAA